AAATAAACAAGGGTGCTCCTTCGCGATCGCCGATCCAATTAAATCCGATTACATTTTTCGCCGCGATGCGGCCCTCCTGCCCTCCCCGCGCCCCCGCCCCGCAAAACTCCGGACCGCGGGGCGCTGGTGGCGTCCCTTATCGATTCGAAACGATTTTAGAGGGTGGTTTTACCCTCCGACGTTTTTGATTTCGGCTAGGCGGCCTCCGCGATACCGGGACTCCGGGGCAACGCTTCGCCGCTTCGAATTAAGGGGTGAGCCTCGAGAGTACACGAGCCTAGCCCCGGGATCGTTCCGAGGAGAAAGAGCGAGACAGGAACGCCGGACGCGGGGTGAGGGCAGGGGGGGGTGGGAGGGGGAGACCGGAGGGGACGAATAGACAAGAAGGGACGCGCGGAATCGAGCCTCCTCTCGCTCTTCTCGCTGTTTATTTTTTACTTCTCGAGAGAGAGCCATACGCGCGCCGGATGCGCACCCCACCGGTCCCCGAGCCCAAATTCAATAAGTATGGCCCAGCTGAATAACGGGCGTCGGATACGCCCGGCGTTCCTGGAGAGAGACTCGTGATATGAGATTATTGCCGTAGCCCTGAAGCCCGCGACGAATCGGGAGAAGAAACATTCGCGGAACGAGCGAGGAGAGAATTGACGTATCTGCGCCAACGAGGGCTGGCAACGCGGCCCTTCGCGGCACAAAGGGATACCCTGCAACGGGATATTTATCGAATTCGCCATACGAATAATGAAATGGCGACGGCTCGCTGCTTTCGTTTAAAGCCGGCCCGTGTCCCGCCCAAGAGATTGAGCGTTCGAGAGTAACGCGGAGAAGTAACGCGCGGTTAAATTTTCTGTTGGGGAGAACCGGCGACGAATCTGATCGAGGAGTTTACAATGGAAGGGCATAACATCCTCGAGTCACTTTTGTATCTCGGCGACAGAGTATTGAATAATTTATTAGAGTATCGACAGACTTCGATGCGCCGCTAGAGATTAACGGGAGAGAAACTCGGAAGTCAATGCGTATCGCGCGCGCGCGCGCGCGCATATACTGGGTGTCCCAGGATGAAAGGTCAATATTCTGGGAGGTGATAGTATCGGTAATTTTGAGCAAAAATGTTCGTACGAATGTATGTCCCATTCCCCACCGTTTCCGAGATAGAGCTGTTTGGATGTGCAGCTGCAAAATTACTTTGCAAACACCGTTATTTTAGAAGATCGTACGACAGGACAAAATTACGGGGAATTTCTGCTCAGTGCATTACCAGAACAACCGGAAGACGTTCCTTCGGCTACACGGCGTGTTATGTACTTTCAGCATGACGGAGCTCCTCCTCATTATACCCGATTTGTGACGCAACATCTCAACGTCACTTTCCCTAATCGGTGGATCGGTCGTGGCAGCGCCATTAATAGGCCACCAAGATCTCCAGCCCTAACCCCGCTGGATTTTTGTTTATGGGGTTGGAGATGAAGGATCAAGTGTACAGAAGAGAAGTGAATACGCGGGACACTCGAGTAGCTCTATCTCGGAAACGGTGGCGAATGGGACGTATATTCACATGAACATTTTTGCCCAAAATGACCGATACTATCACCTCCCAGAATATTGACCTTTCCTCCTGGGACACCCTGTACATTGCACGCACACGGTGGAGCGTTAAATAAAATATGCGTCTGTTTCGCGTACCGTCTGTCCGCGGAAAAGTTTTAATATTATGTCGCGCGAGATGATAAAATTAGAAACGCGACATCGGGATATCGCGCAGCGCGGAGATTACTTTCCACGGGCCAGAATTACGGAAAAATGACGACGAGCGAAAATGGGGCGAGGCCGCCAGGCTGCGAAAAAAAGAAGAATTACCATGATATTGCAATAGTAAAGTGATAGATACCAAGTTTAATATGCATGGCAGCCTCTCCTCGCCGCCGTACGGTCGAAAGTAATACGCCGCCCGGAAGTTACAACGGATTAGCTTCGGACCCGGCTGCACTTCCGTCCGTTTAATTTTGCAATCGTAAACACGATACTGAGATATTTAGTCTACTACAAACACGGCGATTCCAATAGGGATATTGGATCGGCTGATGTTGTTCCAGCGCTCTGAATTTCGTAATATCGAGTCACCCCTGATATTAAATCGAACGCATTGAACTTTGCGCGAAAGAGAGCGAGGTATAGTAATGTCTTGATTAAGGGGATGCTGGAGTGATTCTGCACTTTCGCACCTTTTGCACTTAAAACGGTCTGTTTCGTGGAAAGATTTGTGTAATACACAAATTAAATGGT